AAACCAAAAAAGAGAAAAAAGGAACTCAATTTGGTAGCACATCTTTGATTTAATTTTAGGGAAAACTAGGTTCCGGAAAAAACTTCAAATCATTTTCGAGAAAATTTGAACTAGAATGAAACGAATTTAGAAGATTACAACGAATAAAGAGGTATTCTAGCCGAGGGTCTATCGAACAGTCTCTCTACCTTCACAAGGTAGGGGTAAGGTTATGCGTACACACTACCCTCCCCAGATCCAATTCGTGGGATTTCAGTGGGTATGTTGCTGTTGGAATGAACAAAGAGGGATCATATAGCCGACTGAGCCATCTGGACTTGGGTGTTACTATCTAGTATTACTTTTGCGAAACCTACCTTTTGACCGCTTTTAATTTCTGACAGAATTTTATTTTCATTTAGGAAAGTGTTTTAGAAAAGGACCAAATGCGGCTGTCTTAATTTCGGGAGATCTTTTCAATTTCACCCCACTAGCAAATCATCTGTTACTAAATGAGTAAAATTTGCTATCCCCGTCTTTAAGGACACAATGTCCTAAATTATCTTTATTAAATGCAATGTGACAACCAAAGCTTGATGACTCTTGGGGTATAAAATAGACGACATAGGTACTTACCATCTCATTTCGCCGTCCATTCAGTTCGTCTTCGTTCATGTTCGAAGCAATCTGGGAATTATGATCCCCCTCAAATTCTTTACCTTTCTTTAAATATTCTTTATGTCTTTTCTCATTCACCCTGGAGTTATCAGGAGCATGGGGAGCACGATCTTCACGTGCACTCACTCTATCAGGCCTTGCTCTTCTCTCATCCTCACGGGTCCTCAGCCTTGAAGGACTTTCATTTTCAGCACGATCCCTCCTTCTAATATGGTCGGCATGCCTCACATCTTTCAAATGCTGATCAGAGTTTCTGTTCTCATCTTTCCCTCTAGAATGACCAGCCCAAGCTTTTTCTTCTGCAACACGCCCAGCACGCATACCGCCCCTTATTTCCTCTCTCTCCCTTTTTGACAGTGCCTCTTCTTGGGACTGTTTAAGCCTATACCACTCCTCACGCTCTCGCTGTCTGTCAGTTCTCTCCCTCTGAAATACTCCATCTTCTTTGTGCCTGATATAGTGCTGCTCATCATCTCTCAGCCTCAGTAGCTCATCTCTCTTTCGATGATCTGAGGTATCATCTCTCTCTCTCTTTCTACGAACCATATTTTCTCCATGCGGATGGAAGGATTCTTCCTTGTCAGCATGTTCCCTACTTAATTTTGTCTCTTCTTTCCTTCTTTTATTGTGGCGATCATCCAAGGTATCATACCTCTTCAACTCATCCCTGTCTCTTTGCCTTGCTCCCATGTCCTTATCATAATCAGGCCTTAACGTAATGCTCTCCAGCTGCTTTCTATGTAAATGGCGTTCTTCTCTATCACTCCCATCAAATTCTCGCACCTTGCTGCGGTGTCTGGATCCAGTTTCATCAATGAGCTCTCTCTTTCGTGGTTCTTCCACTTTAGTTCTCCTCCCCGGTAGATCTTCATCCCTCCTTTGCCATACTGCCTCTGAATATTCACGTTCCCTCCGTCGGTCAATGTAATGGGCTGAGCTAGAGTCAATGCCTTTACGCGAATAAGAATCTTCCCTCCCTTTTACTACCCCACGGTGCTTTTCTGCTTCTTTCTCATTGTAGACTCTTCTTCGGCCTCTATCCTCATCCCTGGCAACTGCTTTTTTGGCATTATCCATGCGCATAGGACGTCCATCTTGAACAACTTCCTCCTCAACATCATCCCGCAATTTGCGATAATCTCTACTGCTTCCAGATTGGGCTTTGCTATTCTCGCTACTTCTTCCAGCCTTGGAGTCTTCTCCACCATCAGTTTCTTGCGGAGAAGATTGTTCACGTCGCAAGCTTAACTTTTGCTTTTTAGAATGCAGAAATTCATCATTCATGGCTTCACTATCAGCTCTTGCATCCAAAGCCATTTCCTCTCTCTCAGCTTCACTGTTTGTGTCGGCTCCAACAGGTTGATCACGAATATCATCTCTATCTTCCATATCTTGCTCCTGAGCAGGTCTATCAGTGGTGGGTGAAGGAGGGACAGGACTGTGCCTATGATCAACACTTTCAAATGATTCTTCTTTCTGATTATCAACTTGGAGTCTGTCTCTGCTATCACCACTGGGACTAATATCAGGTGATCCTTCGTGTGCACTTCCCTTTTTTTCCCTGGAATGAGAACGGAGAGCCAAAATTAGGACAAATGCAAGGCAATAGACTCTTAGAAAAGAAGCAGAGGACAATAGTGCTCTTTTGACAAATAGCAAGCGAATGGAAGTTAGCATAATATGTAATTAAACTTAACTCCTTAACACATCCAAATAAGATAGGAAGCTATTCAAAGAGATTTAACAAGTACAGTGATATGAACAAGAGATTCTCAAAGTCGTATGTCCAAAATAGATCATTGTTCAACAGACTAGGGCATTGATGGAAGATCACATGCTGGTTCATACCAACCATCTTTGAACAAGAGTGAAAGAATCTGACAACAACAACAACAACAACAACAGCATAACCCAGTAAAATCCCACTAGTAGGGTTTGGGGAGGGTAGAGTGTACGCAAACCTTACCCCTACCCCAGAAGGATAGATTAAACAATCTGACAAATAAAATAAAATTCTCATGACACATGCAACAGATGTATGCTGCAGGTCAATCTTAAACTTTAGGTTGTCACATTGGTAGAAGCAGCTACCGATCAAATACTACAAGGATGGGTGGGCGGGCACGTCTTGTTTAGAGCGCTGTGTGTTAATATCTTCTGATATTCCCTATTTAAGGACCTCTCGTATGCTTCCTATGTACTCTTATTTGTTTGTACTAATAATTAATTTTTCTAACTAGAAAAAAGAAAAGGACTGGACTTGGACATTGCTAACAAACCTTCCATACTAGTGACACGGCAGTGCCAAATAAGGGATGGACCTGCTAAAACATAAAAAGTAGTAAGCACAGAAAGATGATATCTAAGGATATTCTAATGTATCATCAAATCATTCTGCGAGTTCCATACTCGATGAAGAGCTATAGCAATTAACTAACTAATATTTGACTTTGTTATGCTCGCTTCCATGCCAAGTAACAAAATCTAATTGGACATAGTTCTATGATAAATCAATACTGATGTATCAGACAATAAACTTGATGGATCAATTCACCTAGCAGCATAACTAAGGACCTGTTGATCTTTTTCCTATATAAATTGAAATAGGAACCCCGTAAAACAGAAGTTTTGATGAGGGAAGACCAATTCATTTTCGGTTGAACATAAAATAAAAATAGTAGGATATCAGGATCCTACGTGACACCATTTAAAGAAACAATTTATTCTCACAAACTTCTATAATACCATTTGACTTATTTTTTAAATTTTAAAAAAAAAATCCAATACTTCTATGCTAATGCACAAAACAAATTCTCCTTGTGGTTGACAATTTCCAAAAATAGATGTATAATATAATTATTTATCTTGTCGAACAAATATTTTAAGTATTTCCCTACATGTTCGAACAAATTTAGATACATCTCCAAGAGTTCCAAAATAGCTACAGTATGCTGCCTCCTGAGACCAGCTTGTCAATGTTTTTCCGCTGTGAAGGATTAACCAGCCTAGACCACCAAAGTCGACCACTATACTTTGATGTTTAGACCTCTGCATTAGTCTGGAGTTTTACTTTCATCTTGCTAAACTTAACAGCTTCTTCATATTAGCATGACGCAAATTGGTTATCACCTAACAGTGCCATAGAGGAAAAGTTGCCAAACACAGCTTAACAAAGTACATCTAAGCCAAACAACCATATATACTATAAAGCATATCCACTAGCAAATGATTCCACGTGATGAATGAGTTCACTGTATTGGGGAGGTAAGTGAGAGCAAATTAAATGTAAAGCCAAATGGCTGATCTTCCTAATAATAAGAACAAGGAATTTAAATAATTGGACTTGCAGCATAATTTTGTTCCTATATCATGTACACGCTGCTATCTCCATCTTACGTCAGCAAAAAGAAAAAGAAGGAAGAAGCATCCGCCAGACTAAGAAAATTAATGCGTAAGTTACTAATCATAAATATTTAATATTGTATAAGCTCCTCCTACCAAGAACCACCAGTAACCACCCTTCATTTTATTGATCAAGAAACCACCCTTAATTTTATATGAGTTGCTCCTATCTAGAACCACCAGCAAGTACCCTACTTTTCTAGGTACAAGAGAACATGGCTCATGTACTACATGCATGGCTCACTTCAAACCAAAGTGTATTTACAGCAATGAGATGTCTAGTTCACAGAACGACCATAGGTTTGGGATCTGCAATGGAAATGAGACTTTGAGCATGCAAATCCCAAAGATGACCGTATTCCTTTCTGAAAGAGAAGGAAATCTTGTAAGGGCCCTCAGCCACATTATCAACATTTAGGGTCCATCAATCAACTATAACAGAATCCTAAAAAAATTTATAAGTAAAAGGGAAATTTTACTACTGAAAATTCAGTTACAAGCTAGTACCGAACGAGTACAAACCATTACAAGCTGACAATCCTCCAAGATTGCAAGGATTGCAACAACTCCAAAATTACAGCGGTATCCTCTATCCTGATCTTTTATCAGCTATCTGAAATATTTGCAATCCATTCTGTTCTATTCACTTCTATTTCATTCCTATACTACATAAATTAAGGTTCTCTAAATTTCAGACTTATTTATACAAAGGAATACAAATCTTGGAATAGAATAAAAAAACTCGTAGCAAATGCCAGACCTAATGTAACAACAACAAAAGCTTTAATCCCAACTAGATGGATGCCCTACATGGATGTCCTCTGCTTCCACTGTGTTAGCTTCTTAGCCAAGTCCATATTACTTCTAAGAGATTGTAGGTCTTTTGGAATTACTTTTCTCCCCATAATTTTATGTCTTCCTCAACCACTTTTATCTCATTCAATCAGCATATTGTTGTACCTACAAACAGGACCAATCCATATCCGACGACTTTTCTCAATTCATTCTCCACATGTGCAACTGCACCCTCTGTTCAAATTAATCATAATCTTTTCCAATTTATTAGGACAACACAGCCATCTTAAAGTTTGTATTTCTACTTCAATTATCTAGTGGATAGATTTAGCCTTGGACGCCAACGTTTACTCATATTTACTACTGTTGAGCTGATAACACCAATAAGTTAGTGAAACCTCATGCTGCTTCTATCTTAGTTACCAGTTAAAACAGGAAATGAAAAATTAACTTCCACTTGCTCAGGAAGATAAACCATTATTTAGGCAACATATATAGTACCTTTCCTCATGTTGAACAACATTAGTCTTGCTTCCATGTGCAGAAGTATGTCCTCTAGAACCAGAAACAAACTGACCAGGGGCTTCCGAGGGAAAAGGACCCACTCCATCTCCTTTGGTCAAATGATCACCTACAGGGTTCATAAATTGTGATCTCCTAGTACTGAGATCTTGCTTGTGGCTTTTATAAGAATGCTGGAAACCATCAGAATCCTCCTGCAGGGGGGATCCTTTTGCATCACCTCTAAAATCCTCTATTGAAGAATTATTGCCTAATTGCACCTCATTCTTGTCATTCCCTGAGTATTGGTCCTCATCCTGGCACACAATCTGTTCACCCCAAAAACAAATACAAAAGGCACAAATAAAATAAGATGTAGAAAGTAAGCAGCAGCACCATCCTGTTAGAAAGACCGCTAAAATTAGGAAAGCACCGATGCAGAGAGAGATTCCAGCATTAACTTTGCCGCTTTTTCCTTTTTTGATAGACACTTCCATTTTGAATTTGGAAGAAGATAGGGTCAGATCACTCACTTCAATAATTGCATCCGAGTCACGCTGCCGTGGTGGTCGGGTATCAATTGATGGTAGGCGATCACCAGAACCGGTTTCAACTTGTATCGGTCTTCCAGTAGGCTAGTAGAATATCATACATATCAGTGAGTAGCATGGCAACTAATATCTGAAACTTTTGTATCATTACTTGCTTGATTAAAGATGTAACAGTAAGCATACTTCACCCAATGGCCAAGTTGGAATGGGAGGCCCAAATAATACCAGAAAATTTTCTAAAGGTAAGGCTTGAACTTGAAATACGTACTAGAGGCGGTCGCATGCGTATAGATCCTCTTGTTGGGTCAGTTGAAGTTCCATCAGTTTTACCATGATTCACATTTTCAGATGGAATGTCTTGAATACCAGCTGCAGCTGCAAGCTCCGGGGGAAGATCTGGATCATATTCCTAAAATAAATACAACATAAGAATAAGAACAACTATTAAGTTTGATAAGTATCTCAGACATGCACGTATTGCTGAAGATAGTATCTTCATCTGCACAAGCATTACCTGCTCTGTTCTTCCACTTTCATATACCCGAATTCTTCCTTGCATAGTTGACTCAAGTCGCAGTTGTTCCTGCAGCAAAGATGGATTATCATCTTTCAAGATTTTCAGTCAGTGAAACCAATGCGAATATGTATACATATCTACTAAATGATACACTTAATTTTGCAAATCTACGGCTGCATCCCGAACTAGGTCCTTGTTAGCTCTCCTAACGCACGCACAATTCCTTGCCTGAGAGGCTTGCCACGGTGCACTAGGCGCAGCCAACAGTATATGGGGCATAGCACAACAAGAACAAGGAAAGGGAAGGGGGATGCTAGAGGTGGAGGGAGGAAGAGAGCTTGGAAATCAATTTATTCGGAACCCGAATGATATAAAGAGAATAACCGTGAAACACAAAAATGTTCCCTGGTTTAAAAGTAAGGATTCACAAGGAAACCTAATACAATAACAAGAAGTATAGTTAACCAACCAGCTGCTTGCAATAATCTTTCCAGCTTTCCTCATTTAAACCAAAGTTGAAGAAATCTGTTACGTCAATGCCTGGAAGTCTCCAAGGTTTCTCCTCAAAACCGTCTATGTCAACTTCAAATATAGTCCTGACAATGTACAAGGCTAAATGAGCATTTTAATTGTCTTTAACTCTTACCAGTATTTTACATGTTTTCCCGGAAAAAGAATGATCAAATGAAAAGTAATCATGCATAATAGTACTTTCAGCCACATTCCAACATGCTCATTCTATCATCATTTCTATACACGCAAACCTACATGCATATGCCACAAAAGCATGAGTTTTTACCTCATAAATCTAACACATGCTTATAAATTAACTACCTTCTTCCACAGAGTTTAACAATATATGGACAAGTTCTTCAATAGGTCTTAGAGATATCATAAATCACAAGTTATATAGAAAATTTTACAGGAAGCAAACACTTCTTATAGGCTATAGCAGCTGCTGACAGCGCCATAATAGAAGAGGCAGGAAGAATTAAATGATCCCTAACTGCATTTTGTAAACATATTTTTGAGAAGGTAACCTATCTGACAACAGTAAAACTGTGAAGCCACCCAAAATTACAAAGAGGAACGCAGAAAAGAACACTCCTAATCCTTTATCTTCTCACAAGAATTCTAAAACATCAAAAATGGATTCATGATCTTCCAAACACTTCCCTTTACACCAAAAATAGAAAAGAACTAAACACTTCATCTTTGATTTATCTTCAAAGCATCTTTGATTTCTCTCTTTCTGAAAACTGTTCTTTACAACAGATGCATCTTGTAAAGATATTGTTCTGTAAATAAAGTTACATTACTCTAAAACTTCAACAGAATTTTGGACACACTTACTAAAGCACCCTCAAGCTTTTTAGGCTGCGCTAGAAGATTTGCTCATGATGACATTAATCCAATTAAATTACAGAATCAACAATAAACTAAAAATAAATATGGGAGTAAAGTAGTGTAACTAGGAAAGAGATAGGCGGCACACTTCATTCTTTCATAAAAGTAAAGACAAAAATCACCTAACAGAAAAATGCCAAATTTAAATAAGGTATAAATCAGGGCCAGACAAAGAAACATACTTGTGCGTTGGAAGAGTGAATTCCAACCCAATACCAAAGCCACGTCCAGGCGCACTGCCTCCCCAACCGGACATCCCATAGCCACCTTTCATTCCTGTTGGTCGCCAATCACCTCTACCACGTCCACCAACTGGACCCACATTGACAGGAGGACGAACTTGACCAGGTGCTCCTCCAGGACCCAACAGAGGAGCTCCAGGCATAGGAGCTGCACCAGGTCTCACATACTACATGAGACAAGAGAAAGGGAGAAAAGATTCACTATCAGCAATCAAAATAATGTAACAGGAAACAACTATCAGGACAGTGACAACAAAAAAAGTATCAAGATAAGAAATATATAGTTAATCTTCCAATCATCAGAGAACAAACAGACACAAGTAAACAAGCAAGAGTAAATAAGTTGCAAAAGGGCAGTTCAAATGTTAAGTATTGCACAACTTTGCTCTAAAAATGAAAGGGGAAAATAAAAAGAACATATAACTTTGCTTTCACAGACTCAACAAGAAAATGAGAAATAAGGTCTAAAATCTTCAGTTTTATTACGACATCTTAAAATAGATCTTTATCTAATATAAAGGGAAAGTAGTAAAAATCTGAAAATAGATCTTGCATCTGTAGCTTAATTGTGATAAACCTTATGCAACCGAAATAAAACAGTTATCAGCTTTACCAATTCTTATATATCTTTTCTTTCTTTACGTTCAACCAAATACTACTTGAAAGTTGTACTTCATCACTCAGCATAAGAAAGTGCATCTTAATGTCATTATCAGTATAAGCAACCAGATTGGCTTGAATAGGCTTCATTGGTTAATGACCTACTTGCACAGGTCAAGCCCATCTGGAAAATGAAAGCACTGACTAGAGACAAAAGCATAGCGAAACCAGAAACGATTAAAAGTCAGGAGTGGTCCAACAAACTAATGTCTGTAAAATTTTCAGAAATTCTCCATTAACATTCTCAAGGCCTACTAGCATAGCAGCAGAAGATACGTCTTGCAGCCAGCGATATTAGTTCAAATATAGCCATCAACTATTTAAAGAGTTGCCAATAACAGCCGGTGACCACTCTTTGAAGTGCTTTTAAATGATTATTGTTAGACAGATCACGCGGCAATACCCGTGTGCACGGACAAGCAGCCACTTGCGATTTTGATTAGTCAGAATTCATCACACATCCACTCACATATTTTCCACAAAGGATAATTTCATCTCTACTTTGGATATCTCCAAAGAGAGTTCAATCCTTGCCTTTGCAGCTGCCTTGAATTGTAACATTTCAAACATCATCTATCTATAAATTAAAGCATGAATATGCTATAGAGAATGCCCAAAATAGGAATTATTTCCAACAAAATTATAAAATATATTTCATTAATATTATAATCATCAGTACAATCCTTTATACAGCTTGTGCATACAAATAAGAGCCACCGGCCTTATCATCACCAATGACCACAAAACTATGAGTAAATTACAAGTCATCTTACATTGCAAAGTTCTGATCACGTCTACAACATCACTGACCTTATACTGTGAATGATAGGGATGATGGTATCCATGATTGTTGTACCCAACCTTTGCCGCTACTCCTCCAGGTGCTCCATTCACTTTTAATGCATCATTAATCTCCTTTCTCTCTCCATTAACAGCAGGACCCCCTTCATCACCCCATTCTTGCTCCTCCATTATCATTGGTGGATGGCTCGGGCCATCATTATCCGCAACAATAACCAAAGGCTCTCCATCTTCATCATCCTCATCGTCCCCCATTCTCTCCATACCCATTGGTCCATGAGTGTTGTCATTCAACACAATCTGCAAATCATCCTCACTATCATCACTATCCCAATCATCCTCGAGATTGCCATCCCCACCATTCCCTCCTCCACCTGAAACGCCCGGGATTGACACGCCAGGAATCAAGGGCTCAAAATTCTCTACATTTCCACTCCCATCCTTTAGATTCTCAGCGTTCTTTTCACCTAAATTTTGATCTTTCTCAATCAAAATATCATCTTTATCATCCCTCTCTTCCACTACAAAATCAATATTATCATCATCCATAAAATTTGAATCTTGAAAACCCACTTTAGGTAATTTCATATCCTCACTCTTCTCCAAAACCCTAACAATCAAATCCGATTCATTAATTTCACTCAAATTCTCGAGTTTTCCAGCTTTTTGATTAAAATTTAGATTGAATTCGGGTAACTTCGACCCGGATTGTACATCTTGTAAAGGAGCTAGGGTTTTTTCGTTACCAGTGATAACAGAATTCGGGGCAGTAAAATTCGGATTCGAACTCGGATTAGGAGCTCCGTATAATATCTCCTCGTCATCGCTATTGTTGTTCAGATCGATCGGCCGGGTAGTGGGGCCCGCGCCGGCGGCGGCTCTGGGGGCGGCAGCTTCGTCTTGTGGAGCTGGAGCTGGCGGCTGCTGCTGCTGGGACTGAAACGACGCCGTTAGCACATCGGTGTAGAGATCTCCGAATTCGTCGTCATCTTCCATTTTAGGAGAGAGAGATATTGCTTTAGAGAGAGAGAGAGGAGTGCGAGTTCTGTTTCTGTAGAGAAACGCAAGAAAGAGAGGGTTTTGAGGGCTTCTAAGAAGGGTATAATTTGTACTCCCTACCTGGGTTGGAAGGGTCTCAAGAAGGTACGAATTTTGCTAGGACTATGGCCTTTTGGGGAAAATTTCCTAATCAAGGTTAAATTACTAGTAAGGTGCAAAATTAGTACTATGTAGGTAAAAATAATCAAATGTGATTTTTGAGAATTTAATGATAAATCAAGGTTAACTTCTAATTTAATAGCTTTAAAAATAAGATTGGTATTCAAAACACACTCAACACCAATAACATACCCAGTATATTTCCATATGTGAAGTCTGGTGCAACGACCCGTCCGGTCATTTCATGAGTTACGACTCTGTTTTTCCCATTTCTGCTTCTTATTGTCTTGTTCAACCGTATTATGTGTTATCGGGATGGTTGGTTCAGGTTCGGAGAGGTGTTGGAATGGAATGAGACACTTAGTCTCTTTTGAGTAAGCTTAGGTTGGAAAAGTCAACCGGATGTTGACTTATGTGAAAAAAGGCTCGGATGTGAATTCAGATGGTTCAGATAGCTTCTGGAGGTGATTTGGGACTTAGGAGCGTGATCGGAATGTGTTTTGGAGGTCCGGAGTAGATTTAGGCTTGAATTGACGAAATTGGAATTTTGGCGTTTTCCGATTGATATGTGAGATTTGAATATGGGGTTCGGAATGGAATTCCGGAGGTTGCAGTAGGTCCGTTGTGTCATTTGTGACGTGTGTGCAAACTTTCAGGTCATTCGGACGAGGTTTGATAGACTTTTTGATCAAAAGCGGAATTCGGAAGTTTTTAGAGTTGTTAAGCTTGAATTCGTGGTTAATTTGATGTTTCGATATTGTTTTAGGTGTTTCGAAGATTGGTATAAGTTCGAATAGTAGTTTAAGACTTGTTTGTACTTTTGATTGAGGTCCCGGGGGCCTCGGAGGCCTCGGGATGATTTCAGATGGTTAACAGGAGTTTGAGGATTTGTTGGAGCAGCTTCAGCTGTTGATTTATTGTCATAACCGCACCTGCGGTTAGGGGACCGCATGTGAGATGACCGCAGAAGCGAGATCAAGCCGCAGATGTGGTGGGAAAAAACTGCAGAAACGGTAGCGCGGAAGCGAAAATGAACCGCAGGTGCGAAATACTTGGGTCAGAAAGTATATAAGGCTTCCTTTGCGAATTTTTGGTTATTTTATCATTTTTCTCATACGGGCTTGAGCTTGAGGGAGGATTTTGAAAAGGGATTTCAAGGGGATTCCGTGGAGGTAAGATTTTTGGACCCTAAACTTGTTTCTATGATGGTTTTTGACTGATTAAGCTTGAAATCTATGGAAATTAGTAGCAAAAATTAGGGGTTTAGGGCTTGAAAATTTGAGACCTTAATCTAGGAATTTGAGGGGTCATTTGTGGTCGAATTTTGGTACTTTTGGTATGAATGAACTCGTGAGAGTGTAAGAATTCCAGTTTTATGAAATTTATCAGAATCCGAGATGTGGCCCCGGGGGGTCGGGTTTGATCAATTTTGGAATTTTGATGTAATTTGATTATTTTCGAGTGGGCTTTGCCCTTAGCATATTTTGATGATTATATACTGATTTTGGTTATATTCGGGGCATTTGGAGCCCGAATCGAAAGGAAAAGACGTCGCGGGCTAGATTTTGGCTTGGCTTGAGGTAAGTAATGCTTTCAAACTTGGGTTTGAGGGTTCGAAACCCCGAACTATGTGTTCTATGATTACTATTGAGGTGACGCAAATGCCAAGTGACGGGCGTGCGGGCATGCACCATGAGAAATGCGGCCTGGGTCATTCCAGGGCACCGCTTAGTGACTCTTTCTTGGTGATATTTGTGATATATCTGTGTGATTAAGTCAATGAACTACAAATCATGCTAAATACCATGTTAAGGCTTCACGCCAATACTATTGAGACCCGATGGGTCGTTTCTTGTTGTCATGTCATTAGTTTCATGTATATTCTATACTCAGTCATGTTCATGCATATTAGATCATGCCTCAATCTCGATTATTGCTATTTGACATATCATATCATTGTTCGGGCTTGTATTATGACATCTTAGCCCATGTGTGTGGACTGGAGAGTATTGACTGAGTGAGGCCGAGAGCCTGATATTGATTGACAATATGGGATCGGGCTGCACGCGCAGCAAGATATTGATCATGCCTTCGCGGGCATTGATATAGCGCTTGGGCTCAGAGAAGCCCCTCCGAAGTTTTTACACCCCCAACGAGCGCAGTTGGCGATATTAAGGGATGAATTTTCCTTGGACATGGATCTTGTCCAAAATATTGGTATGAAGATGGATCTTCTCCATGAGGCTGGATTGGACTGTTTCCTCGGTACTGGGTGACTTATAGTCTATGATGTGTATACATTTCGGGATGGATCTTTCCTGGGCCGAGTGGACCGTATACAGTACCGAGTGGTTGAGCACTATGAGCAGAAGTATTATACGTAACATTGAGCATGCTATCTGTGCATTGGTACTTAGAGTTTCCTAAGCTTTATACTCTGCTTCGTATATACTGTGTTTAATTACTGCTGAGAAACTTTATGAACAGTAAGCATGTCTACTTTTCCGTACAATTAACTGTTGTAACTTGTTGAGGTTTGGTTCGTCACTACCGTCAGTCTATAGTTTGGACTTGTTACTTACTGAGTTGGTGTACTCACCATGCACCCTTGTGTGCAAATCCATGTATCTCGGGGTACGGTAGCGGTTGTTGATCTTGCCGGTTGGAGGCTTTTAGAGGAGATTGTGAATTAGCTGCTTGGCGACCGCAATTCCGCCCTCTCCTTCCCTATCTTTCTTTAGTTTAATTATGTGGATATTCTCTGACTGTGTTGGTCATGTTATTTCGAATAGTTGTAGTAGTTTTTGGCTCATGACTTAGTGACACCCGAGGTCGGTATTATGTTTCTTTCCACTGGATTTTAAGTTATACTTTTATCTGATTGAATTTCTGTTAAAATTATGATCTTCCTTAAGTACTTATTTGAAAAATGGAGTGTTTGAGAATAAGTGGCTGGCCTAGTATCACGATAGGCGGCATCACAACATAGTTAGATTTTTGGTCGTGACATGTTGGTATCAAAGCCTAGGTTACATAGGTCTCACGAGTCATGAGCAGGTTTAGTAGAGTCTTGCAGATCGATACGGAGATATCTGTATTTATCCTCGGGAGGCTACACAACCTTTAGGAAAAACTTCACATTCTTGAATTCTTGTCGTACGAATCTGTTGACTCTAGTAACTAAACTTCTGTTGTTCTATTCTCTCACAGATGGTGAGGACACGTGCTACCGATCAGGATAGACGACCACCAGTTGGGGCCTCTAGAGGCCGATTATGCGGTCGAGGCTGTGGTAGGGGTAGGGGTGTGGCTCGCACAACAGCTAGGGCAACACTTGCAGATCTACCCGCTGCCCCAGTTCATGATCAGGCTCCAATGGGGGATGCTCCAGCAGTACCAGCTCAGGCACCGACTGTGCTTATTGTTATTCCGGGTCTCCAGGAGATTTTGGCTTAGATTCTGACCATGTGCATCAGTCTTGCTCAGGCAGCCGCAGTTTCTACGACAGCAGCTACTTCTCAGGCCAGGGGAGGCACTCAGACTCCCGCCGCCCGTACACCCGGGTAGGTTGTTCAATGAATCCAGACACCGAAGGCACCAGTAGTCCAACCGGTTGCACCTGCTCAGGATTTTGTGGTTCTAGTTATGCCTAACGACGAGCAGTGTCGATTGGAGAGGTTTGATAGACTTCAGCCTCTGACTTTCAGTGGTGTAGAGGGCGAGGATGCCCAAGGTTTCTTGGATATGTGTTAGAGGATATTGCGTACGACGGGTATTATGGAAACTAGTGGGTCTCATTTACTACTTTTCAGCTTTCTGGGGCTGCCTTCACTTGGTAGGAGGCTTATGAGAGGCGTAGGCCTGTTGGTGCACTGCCCATTACATGGCATTAGTTCTCCATTCTCTTCCTAGAGAAGTATGTACCGCATTTGTGCAGGGAGGAGCTACGTAGGGAGTTCGAGCAACTGTGTCAAGAGGGCATGTCTGTGACGCAATATGAGATGAGGTTCTCCGAGTTGGCCCGTCATGCTATCTGGCGAGTTCCCACAGACAATGCGAGGATCAGGAGGTTTGTTGATGGCCTCAACTATCAGCTATAGATTTTTCTGACCAGAGAGAGTATCTGGCGCTTCTTATGAGGAGGTGGTTGACATTTCTAGAGAGATTGAGTCACTTCGTCGCCAGGAGCAAGAGGAGAGGGAGGTCAAGAGGCCTCGGGGATCTAGTAGTTTTGGGGGTTCTTCTTCGGGAGGCCAGTTTCAGCATGGCAGAGGCCGTTTATTCAGGCATGCTCAGCTAGCCCGTTTAGGTCACCGTGGTGGGTCATTTGGCCATGGTTCTCAAAGTTCACATCAGGGTCACTAGTCTCTTAGTGCCCTTCCAACTCAGAGTTCGACTCAGGCACCATCAGTTCAGGGCTCATCTATGACTGGTTCTTCTAGTAGGCATCAGTGCTTGGGGATCCCTTCAGTCCCCACCGCCAGTTGCTGCGAGAAGTTGCTTCGAGTGTGGAGATTTTGGTCATATCAAGAGGCTTTGTCCCCGTCTTACGGGAGGTTCATCCTAGTAGAGGAGTCAGCCTTCGGCTTCAGCACTAGTTACTTCCCTACCCGCTCAGTCAGCTCGGGGTGGAGGTCAGTCAGCTAGGGGTCACCCTAGAGGGGGAGGTCGCTCAGTTGGTGGTCAGGCCCGTTTCTATGCCCTCCCAGCCAGACCAGATGTTGTGATTACAGGTATTATTGTAGTCTGCCACAAAGATGTCTCTGTATTATTTGATCCTGATTCCACCTTTTCTTATGTGTCATCATATTTTGCCTATTATTTAGATATGCCCCGTGAGTCTCTTGATTCATCTGTTCATGTATCTACTCTGGTGGGTGATACTATTGTTGTGGACCGTGTATATCAGTCGTGTGTAGTGACTATTGGGGGTTTGGATACTTGAGTGGATCTTTTGTTGCTTA